AAAAAAAAAGATTATTTTCATTGATCACTTATTTGTCATATAAGAAATACTTTAGCTTTTTTAAGTGAATATTGTTCCAAACAGAATTCTAAAATAGGTAATAGTATTTACTAACAATATTAATTAGTAGCGTCTTTTGCTCACACTATTACAGTAATAGCTTTAGAATTGGTAGGTTAATATTTCGATATGAATTTAACCGAATAATTTTATAATTTTCAAATTAAAAAGATTATTTATTTGAAGAAGTAACAAACAAAGTAAATTACAAACAAAAAACAAAACAAGAACAATAAAGAACAAAAAATAACAAGATTATAATGGAAAGAATTAAGAAAAAAATTTAAAAAGTGCCTATTGAAAGGCTCAGTTCCATCACATCATGTGTGAATGTTTGTGTTGTTTTGAACTTTTTTAAATTTTTTTGTTTTTGTTGTATTTTGTATTGGATAAGGGATGTGATATAAACGTTCTAAGTAGATGACTGGTTAGGGATAAGTTTCGATGGGTTAGGGTGCATGGTATGGATACTCTGGTGACAATGAACGTCGTGGAGATGTTGATGGTGCTATTGGACGTGGTGAAAGTATTGATGGTGAGAATAGACGTGGTGGAGGTGTTGAAGATGATGATAAAAATGAGAATAAAGCTGAGACTGACGATGGAGATAATGGTGGAGGTGTTGAAGCGATTGCATGTTCATAGATATATTCGTGAGTAATGATGAATAGAAGATAATAAACACATAATGGCCATATCTCTCACATAAAGACCATTGTATCAACGTCCAATAGAGAAGAGTATGAGTGTGGGTAGGTGTGTTTATATAGATATAATGAGATTCAAAGCATCATACGACGCGTTTCGTCCTTGCTGAAGGGACTCGTCAGGTATATTTTGAATCTACAAGTACAATAATTAGTAAAATCAATAAAACTCCAATCTTTATAATAGTCTATTGAATAAATGCGTAACTTCGGATTTTATCCGAGAGTTATGTGGGCTACAAAAAGCGAAAATAGACATTGACCTTGTTTTTTTTGATTCTTAGTCAACAATAAAAAGTTCTAGCGGCAGTGTCAGTATATGTGAGTTTTTCATAGTTTTCTGACAGTGTAATGTTGAGGAAACCTCAAACGCACAATATCTACCTCCTGTCAATATTTAGAGCTCTTGACAAATTCTATCTACTCTAAAAAAAACACTAAATAAGAGGAGTCATGTTTAAATGAATTTGTGTTTGTATGAATCTATAAGAGATATATGATAGATACAAACATCAGTATTTTCATAATAGCTCATCAACATTAATAGCTATCGAGTTCGGGTTTTTACTTTTCGATAGTCCTTTTGACTAGTTACAAAACCAAGTATTTAGAAAATCTCAAAATTACTAATAATCTGAGATATATCTAGACAATTTGGTCTCTGGATACAGGTTTTGTGCATTTTGAGACCTTTTACAAGCGATTTTTTGTTAGAAAGCTACGATTTGGTTCAAAACTGATGTCAGATTCGGAATCAGCGTTAAAAATTGAGTCGCTTTATATATGTTCTGAATAGTTTTGAGAATAATATTTTTTTGAAAAATAATCCCTGTACTCCCTCTCAGGAATGATCTGATCAGTAATGAGAATTTCTTTTATAACTCAGCTATGGTGGAACCGGGTTGGGCTCATCTTCGAACTCGACCGAGATATCAATGAGACTAAACTCTGTAGAAAATTTTAGCTCAGTCTGATTCTCCTTTCGAAAGTTATCGTGTAAACGGCCGAACGGACACACTGGCCGATTCTAGTAGTGTACTCACTTTTTAAGTACAAAAAAAATGATTGAAAGTTGAATGATGTCCAATAAGATTATCGATCTTGCTAGAAAACATAGAAAAGGAAAACGTAGATAGAGGAAAATGTAAAAAAAAAATAGAACAGGAAAAGGTAGAAAAGGAAAACATTGAAGTGATAGATCAGTCTTTTTATGGATGTCAAGTAGTGTATTTATTAGATTATGAGAAAAAAGATGAGAGAAAATTTATAATGTAATAAAATCTTATTTTTTTTCCTTCCAAATAACAATGAGAATCCTATCAATAACTCCTTCGCGTTAATTTCCTTCTTGGAAAATCTCTTACATAGAGTATCAAACCGTGCTTGAAAAGCTTTTGCTTTTATTGATTGTTTTGGTGCAGATGCATCAGCATCAAGCTGAAGTGAAATATGCTCAAAATGAGTATGTTCACTTTGTATCAATTTAAGTTTGTTGCCATTTAAATTATATGTATATTTATAATATGAGAAAATGTTCTTTGTTGAGTGAAAACTAGTATATGCTGGTTACAGGAGTGACCAATAAAAACGAAAACAGTTAAATTTTTTGTACTGTAGTTTTTTAAAGTTTCTACGTTTTCCTCTTTTGTTTTTTTTTCTAAAACTTTCTCTTTCTATGTTTTCCTACAACCCCAGATTATCTCCATCATAGCAAAATGATGAACAGATTTGATTTTATGATAAATTTATTATTAAAGAGATAGAAATGATTGTTATTGAATAAGATTTTTATTTTAAAAAGAATTAGAAGATTATTATACAATTTAAGTAAAGAAAATGTCGTTGAAATGAAATGAAAATTGTGTTTCTATGGTCAAATTGTGATATGTCAATGTGTATTTAATAAAATGGAGATAAATGATAATCGAATATGAATTTGATTAAGAATTAAATAAGATTATTACAATTTTCATTTAATATATATTTCAAGAGATTTTATTCTTTTAATTCTAAAAGATTGATTTGTTAGAATTTATCTCTTCGACAAAATTAAACTAGAATAAACACAAAACTCCCTTTTAATCATATTCATTCGTTTTCTACGAGAATTTTTAAGGTAAAATCAAATCAAATCTCTAACTATCTTCAATATAACTTCTCTCACCTTCAATTTATTCTAACTGAATCGATATAGAAGAGATTATTCTTCATTTTTATTGTAAGTAATAATTAAATCTTACTGAATCATCTTTATTTCATAAAGTTTTTCAATGAATAAAAATATTCGTTATTAAGAAATAACACTTTATCTTTCAAATCATAATTATATAATAACAAAAATTTTCATTCTTTTTTTCTATTTATCTTTCGATGAACACTAAAAACAATTCTAAACATATTTTCTATGACAAATATTTATTTTGGATTTGATTTTCTTCGTAAAGTTACATCATCGATTCATTTATATTAAAACTTATCTTCACGAATTTTTATTTGCCTTTTTTCTCTACACTAAATTAATTATTGAACTACCTTTCTAAGCATTTTGTTACAAAATAATTCAATTTATTTTATTTACAAATAAAATTTGAGTTTTTATTTAAAATGAAGCATAAAATTGGTGTTTAAAAAAATTAAAACTAGTTAATAATTAAATGAATAACTTTGATGATATTGTATTTGATTTAATGTTCATTAAAATCAAACAGAAATATTTTACATAATGCACGAATCTATTATAATCATATTAAGATCATTGAATATCTTTGTGAAAAGGTTTTTGTATTTGTTGACAACAGAATTGTGGATAAAAGATCTTTCCATTCGTTTAGCCGCCGTTATCAATCAAACACAAATCGTAGAATTGACTAGTGTCAAATTTTAAGAATCTCTTTTCCATGATAGCCTAATCGTCAAAAGAACTTCGAATGGTACGAATAAAATGTAGTAGGCGTTGAAGATGATATTTTGATATTATTATCTTGTACCTTATACTTTATCTCATATTTATTCAGATAAGTTTTTTCAAAACGGTTTTTTTGTAAAGATAAGTGTTGATCTTTATGGTTAGAGGATGAAATAAAACATGACCATATTTCCATCTTTGAACCGCACTTTTCTCTGTTATAAAAAAAGATTTTTGAAATTCTAATCATATATTTCGAATGAGCATAACTTTTGATTTTCCCAGAATTGTAACGTTGAACAAAAATATGCAAAGAAAATGATCGATAGAGACAATAAATATGAATTTGTAAATTGATCATTTTAAATAATTAGTTTTAATTGTTTATCTGATCTGGAAAAGTGTAGGATGAAGAGATGGTTTTAGAATTGTAAAATATGCTAATGAAAATTATATTTGTATTTAAAAATTGAATAATTGATAATATACTTTTACACTTATCCAAATACATTTTTCATAATTGAAAATAGTTAGAATAATGTTAATTTTGTAATAATAAATTGTTTAATTGTTGATTAAAATGAAAGAATATGATTATTTCATAGATAATTAAACACAAGAAGAGTAATTTGAGTAGGAAAGAGATCGAACCATGTTGGTAATTCGATATCTGTCATAGCTATTTTCAAAGTTGGTTTTAATGAAAAAAACTAAATGTTGTCTATGGACACAATAATAATAAAGTTGTTATGTTAACTGATCTATAGATAGAAAGATCTGTAACTTTGACTAAAGAATATCGTTAAAAATATAAGATTTTCTAACTTTTTAAACTTTATTTCATTCATATTTCAATCTCCAGTACATTTTTAAAATTTCATTTCGAAAGAAAAATCTTTTTTTTTATAAAATTTGAAAAGATTAAAATTGCAAATAATTTATATTTTTCCTTATAATAATTGAAAAGTTTTCCAAGAAAACTAAGAAGCATCCTAAATTTTTTTTGGATTCGACATCTCTTGTTACGCCTCCCCTCCCCCTTGGATGCCTCGCTACGCCTCTGCTTATTTCTATATATAGCATTGTTTGCTATACGGTATACTGAATATTTTCACGGTAAATTTTGATATTAATCATTTATATCAAGCAATTTAGCGCTTATGAGATTTTCATGTTTTTTTTCTGTGAAACTTTCATATGACGAATTAATAGATATTAAATTCGAAGTTTAACTCGATGTTTGAGATCGAGTATCATTTCAAGTATTCTGTATTTATCCAATCATGTATAAATTTGTTAATAAATATTTAATGACTTTATTGATACATGCTATTATTTATATGAGTTATTTGTATGATCTCAGAAATCGTCTCTAATATTTCTCTATTAATGTAAATAAATATCAAAATATATGTATATTGTTTTATGAGTGTACACGAATTAGTCTTTGATGCATAGATTTTGTGTTGAATTATCAGTAATCAAAAAGATTCTACTCTAATATGTATTTTGATCGACAGAAAAAGGTAGATTTCATTCTATGAAATGGCTTCAGATAAGTCATCAAATTCAAGAAAAAACATTTGTTATAAGTTTATCAAATATATTCCTAATTTTGAAGAAGACGTCATTTTGATCACCTAATATTTTGTGCTAAAATCGATATTGATCTAAAAGTTATAATGACTCCATGCAAACAGTAGTAAAAAATGTATTACCATTTTTCCATATTGAATCACCTATTTCTATAAGTATTTAATTGAACTCTTCAATAGATGAGAAAATTTTCATCATTTTATCTCTTTAATTTACAGTCACAGAATGATCAAAATCAGTACTCAAATTCATGGTATATTAACCAATCATATATTCAATCAACCATTTCTCAAGATAAAAATAAAAGTTTTTTTTTATAGCAATCATATGAAAAGCATTAGATCGGCAAAGAGACAGATAACATTAAAGATTGCTTTATTTATTAAAAAAAGCATTTGCACAATAATTGATTTTCATGAATTCGATTAGTCGTTGCCGTCGATTAACGCAGAAAATCTTACATCGAACTACAATTTTATGATTGTTAACTTGATAATGATGCTAGTTATTGAAATTTAAAATATATTTACCCATTTTAGACACAACAGGGTGTCTACCTTGTGTTGTTGTGCATACCGTTATAAAGAACACTCATATTGAGTGATTAATGTTCAAGTATGCATAAAGGAGACAAAAAGTAAAGTGAATATTCAGCATCATCATCTTGCATCGTTTGCGAAAGAGAATCAATTGCTCACATATATTATGTCTTTTTTCCCGATTGGATGAAGAAATTAAATTGATTTGTCAGAAGAAGAGAAAAAAGAATTCACCAATCAGAAATTGTCTTGTATTTCCTTTCGCTCTCTTTTTCTTGTTGATAGAAGCTTTTTTTCTTAGTAAAAAGCGATGATACAGGTAAAGTACGTCTATATACAAGTTTTGTATACATTTTTATATGATCGACATGAACGTATAGGTAAATCATATTAAGAGTATGTTCCTTTATTTTATTTGTAGATATTATCATGTCAAAAACAAAAAATACTGAACTAAAATTTTCTATTCAAAATTTAATTGATACAACTACATCCTGTGAAAATAATCAACAGAAAATATCAACTGATATTTGTCATACACAAGCAAATCTCTCACTAAAACGATTAGTTATGGAACCTCAAGGATCATTAATTCGTCGACCAATTCCAATGCTTAACTATAAAATTCCTCATCCATGTTGGTCATTTTTATCTCATATATCGAATAAAAATCCAACGGGAAGTCTTCCATTAGATTCACCATTAATATTCCTCAGTAAAATGAATCAAGTTTGGGAACAAATGCAACGAACACAAATCTCGCCAACAACAACAACAGAAAATTATGATGTATCTGATGAAGATATCGATATAGATACATCAT